AGAGCACCCCCAATCTGTGCACACGGTCCCGAGAGCCCCCGTAGCTTGCCTCTCCGGGTCCACCCCTGCTACCTCCCTGCCTGGCCCATCCCCAGCTGCGAGGGGCTCACACTGTACTTGCAGGAACACTTTTTCCGACGTTGCCGGGCCCACGTCATTGGAGACCCTACAGCAGTACCTCCCACTCTGGGACTTGGTCACTTTGTGCAGGGTTAGCATGAGCGTATTCTGCTCCTTCAGCGGGATGCCATCCTTGAGCCAGGATACCGTCGTGTACTCCGGGTTGCTGCTGTTGACCTTGCAGGTCATGGTCACAGAGTCCCCCTTCCTCACTGTGGTTTCATTGGGAGTGACCTCGATCGTCAACTTTGGGGTGTCTGAAGGAGCAGAGGGGCAGTCAGGGAGGGGGCGGGGAATTCTCAGAGGGCGGAGGGTGTGGAAAGTGCTTTTATTCTGACAAAGTGGTGACCTGCCAGTCCCTTCACCCAGGTGATGGTCACGGCCTCCTAACTCGGCTCTCAGCTTCCCCCTCCCACTTCCTCTACCTGCTGTCTCCACCAGCAGCACGCAGGGTTCCTAACACCATCCACCAGACCTCACCAATTCTGCTGGAAACCATGAGTGGTTTCCGTGCTTTGCATAGAATCCCAAACCCTCACCTCAGCCGTCGGGATCCAGAGTCCTGCTCCATCTCCTGCCTCCTGTCCTACCATGTGGCCCTCAGAGGCCGTGAACTTCAGCCTCTGAGGTCCTCCCACTCCCAGCTCCTGCCTCAAAGCTTTGAACCTGCTCTTCTCTTTCCCTGAAATCCTCCTCTCGCAAATATTTGCTGGCCTCAGCCCCTTCCTCCATTCCGTCAGCTTAAGTGCTCACCTTCTTAGAGAGGTCTCTCTCCATCACTCCCCTCTCCCGGCCTTATTTTTTCCCTAACACACATATCACTACCTACAATAGTGTTGTATATTTCTTTGTTAACATTGCTTTGTTCCATATTCTAATGTCTTGGCTCATGCTGTGTATTTCTTTGTTAATCCATTTGTTGTCTGTCTCTTTCACTGCAGTGCCGGCTCCGTGTGGGGCAAGAGCTTTGCTCACTGCTGTACCCTGCCCCCACCCTGTGCCCCCACTGGCAGCCGTAATAAGGCCTGGTGCCTAGTAGGTTCGTGATATATATTTATTGAATGAATGAGGCACAAGATAATGATGCGAAAAAATCTCCACCAAGAGGGGAACAAAAAGACCTAACCAGATAATCCCCAAATCATGTCATGGCTTGAGGATGGACCGTTTTATTCTGTTAGGCTAAAGCAAATCTGTTTCCCAAAACACCAGGGCGGCGTGACCGAGGTTGGAGGACGCCACCGTCTGTGCAGGCTTCTCGGTGCCCTGGGTGTGTGCCCCCTGCAGGGCTGGGGAGAAGTGACACAGACCTTGCCCTTCCCATAGGCACGTCGGGGAGACTCACGCTTCACGTTCAGCTGCACCATGTCTTCGGAGAGGACCTTCCCGTCCACATCGTGAAGCTCGCAGGTCACGATCTTCCCATGGTGACTCCACTGTGGCGAGAACTTGAGCTCGCTCCGGGTGAAAACAGACTTGGTGCTCAAGGAGGTCAGGTGACAGCAGCCTGCCTCATTGGAACCCCCTCTAGTAACCACTGCAATTGGATCTGATACCCATAGCAGGAGAAATTCAGCAAGCAGGTCAGAGTGACTTCCTGGGATTCTTGAAGTTTTGGAGGGAGCTGGATACGAGGTGGAAAAGGCCTTTCTGCAAAAGAACAGAGTCCACGCTGGAGCCTGGGGGACTGAAGACGTGAGCGTACACCTGGCTTTAGATGTCCTGTCCCAAATCACCCCTCAGGAACCCCTTGCCACTTCATTCCACCTCTCTCCAGTCCTGCCTTTTTTGTTGTTGTTGTTGTTTGTTTGTTTTTGTTTTTGTTTTGTTTTTTTGAGATGAAGTTTCCCTCTGTCACCCAGGCTGGGGTGCAGTGGCGTGATCTTGGCTCATTGTAACCTCTACCTCCCCAGTTCAAGTGATCCTCCTGCCTCAGCCTCCCAAGTAGCTGGGATTACAGGTGCCCACCACCACACTCAGCTAACTTTTTGTATTTCTAGAAGACACAGGGTTTCGCCATGTTGGCCAGGCTGGTCTTGAACTCCTGACCTCAAGTGATCCTCCTGCCTCAGCCTCCCAAAGTGCTGAGATTACAGGTGTGAGCCACCACACCCGGCCTTGATTTTTTTTAGAGACAGGGTCTTGCTCTGTCACCCAGGCTGGAGTGCAGTGGCACAATCCTAGCTCACTGTAGCCTTGACCTCCTAGGCTCAAGCAATCCTCTCACCTCAGCCCCCTGAGTAACTGGGACTACAGGCATGTGCCACCACACCTAGCTAGTTTTTTAAACATTTTGTAGAGACAGGGTCTTGCCATGTTACCCACTCTGGTCTCAAACTCCTGGGCTCAAACGATCCTCCAACCTCAGCCTCCCAAAGTGCTGGGGTTAGAGGCGGGAACCACTGCACCCAGCCCAGTCCTGCTTTTCTCCACTTTGAATCACTTTTGCTCACCTGAAATCCTCTCTGAAAGGCCTTGACCACACTAAACCTCCTTGGGAACTGTAATCCACTCTTTTTTCATGCTCATTGCCGGATGTCTGCTTTCTGAATGATTGCAAAGTTCTATTCCCACCACCTCTAAGTGAATTTTATCAGTTTAGTTCACAGGCTTTTCAGCTTTGACAAACCTGTGTTGGTTTCATGGCTTCATGTATTGCAGCCATCCAAACACCGCATTCCTTTAGTGGGGTGGGTCTGTGTGCACCCAGCCTCAGCTCTCCCCAAGGCTGGACCACCTCCTTCAGACAGCGGGGTCTGAAACTGCATTGCTCACTCCAAACTTAAGGCTGCTTAGAACTGCCCATCCAGGAAACGGTGTGGAACGGAGTGCCCACTCTCCCTATGGCAGGGGCCCCTCACACCTGTGTTTCATGGGTCAAAGCCACGCCTACATATGCAGTGGCTATGGCTGAACTTATGTTATACAATTGTAAGATGTTTCAGTTTTGCTTCTTTTCTTTTCTCTTTGTCCTTTTCTCCTCCATGAAAGATTAGTTACATTTGGTCATTTCAGTAGCAGGTAACCATTAATTCACTAATAATTGTTTAACTTACATCCTGACCCCCCGGCAGCTGCCTGCAGATAATGAACTTGTCTCTCTTTCAAAGAACAATGATCCTTAGGTCACACAGACCTCCTTGATGACATCCAGAAATTTGATGAACCGGAGACACAACAGCTTTAATGATCAGGAGGTCACCTCCTGCACACCTACTTTATTCATAAAGCCCCCAGTAACCTCAAAGTCGGGTCAGATTTGAGAGTTTCTCTCTTCTGTCCCCTCGCTTTGGCTAAATAAATAATCCTTTCTTAGCTTCTAAGTACTGATGTGTCAGTGTTGGCTGACTACGCATCGGGAGCTCAAAACTGGCCTGTGGGGGTTCGGACAACGGTGTCATCTAACCTTGAAGAGCTCATGAGAACTTGCCATTGAACGATTAACACACTGAGAGATTTCACTGGAAAATCTAGATTTCCATCATCTCTTGAAAAAACCAGAAGCAGTAGGGCCGGGTGCGATGGGCTCACGCCTATAATCCCAATGCTTTGAGAGGTTTGAAGCAGGAGGATTGCTTGAGGTCGGAGTTCAGACCAGTCTGGGCAACATAGGAAGACCCATTTCTACAATAAATTAAAAAGTTAGCCGGGCATGGATGGTGGCATGACCCTTGATCCTAGCTACTTTGGAGGTGGGAGGATAGCTTGAGCCCGGGAGATCAAGGCTGCAGTGAAGCTGAGATCGCATCCACTGCACTCCAGCCTGGATGGACGACATGCGAGACCCTGTTCATAAAAAGGGGAAAGGAAGGGGAAGGGGGGGAAAAGAAGAAGAAAAAAGTTTAAAAATATTTTATGATTTTTATAACACAGGTTCAGTTATGCACTGCACATGTAGGGGGTGGATTTGACTCATCAAACACCGTCTGGGGCCTCTTGCCCCAGGGAGTGTGGGTTACTCGTTCCACACACAGTTCCTCTATAGGGAGCTCTGAGCAGCCCTAAGTTTAGGGTGAGCGATGCAGCTTCAGACCCCGCTGTCTGAAGGGGGCAGTCTAGTCTGGGAGAGAGCTGAGGCTGGCTACATGCAGACCCACCCCACTAAAGGGATGCGGTGCTTGGATGGTTACCGTACTAAGGCCAAACACGAGTTTGTCCACAAAAGCTGAAAATACATGGTGAGAAAGAAGAGAGGAAAGATCAGGAGATCCGACAACCTTGGAATCCAGGTCCCAGAGGGGCAGGAACTGAGGGTCAGATGGGACATCCGAGGTCCCGCAGCTCCGGACTAGTGCTGAGCAGTCGCCATCGTCACCCGCTGGCGTCCCCTGCCTGAGCTCTGCAGGAAGCTCCGGTTTGTGAGCTCTCTGCCAGGAGTCAGGTATTTCCTGCCTCCCACTCACCCCTGCCCAGAGCAGAAGACCCGCTCCCCGAAGGCCTTACCGGAGACATTGAGGTGTATTCGTTCCATCCATTTCTCAGTCTTGGACACCATCCTCAGCCCCAGCTGACCACTGTCATTGACGTGCACTGGGTGGATACTCAGTGTGCAGTTGTTGTTAATCTTGTTCCCCAGGAATTGCACCCTTTTCTGCCCTGAAGGAAGCTTCCCATCCTTTGTGCTTTCATAGAGTCTGGTCCCTTCGAACTTCGACATGTTCTGGTTATACTCAGGATTGTGGAACAGGATGAAGGTTTCCAGGGCACCATCTAGGACTCTGTAGGTGCAGGGGACCCAGACGCAGGCCCCCTCCCAGGCGTAGATGGTTCCAGGGTGCTCAATATTCCATTTACTTGAGTCAGAGAAAGCCAAGTATTCTAGAACTCACCACAGTGATCAGAAAGCATTACTGAGGGGGCACGAGAGCCTTCTTTTACAAATTATTCTTTATTTTAAAATTTGTTTAATTTTTAATTCTTTTTAGAGATAGGGGTCTTGCTAAGTTGCCCAAGCTGGCTTCAAACTCCTGACCTCAAGTGATCCTCCCGCCTCAGCCTCACAAAGTGCTGACATTTCAGGCATGAGCCATTGCACCCAGCTGAGAGCTTTCCAAAAACTAAAGAATTCTCTCTGAAGATAGTGGGAGAAATACAGAGATACACAAAGACAGCAGGATGCAATGAGAGAAGCGTATGTATATATGGGAAACATATATATTTGTATGTACATCTATCTATACACACTGCCACCCCCACCCTACCCTATGTTGACGCCTCTCTGCCCGGGTCTTTCCTCCTCCTCCAGTGCCCACTGACATCCCAGAACCCCAGTACTGGCCCAGCCACAGTCCTTACCCAGGAGCAGGAGCCAGGGGCCGAGGAGATGCATGGTGTCGTGTCTGGGTGGAAGCCTGAGCAGGGGAGAGTTTGTCTTTGAGCCATCTGGCCACTGACTTCTTCCACATGGCTTTTCTTGCTCACCCACTGAGCTCCAACCCTTCCCCTAGATCTAGGAGGACTGGGTCTGGTTGCATTATGGGGATGTGGCATTTGAGATGCTCACAGAGTTCTTTCTTTTTTTTTGAGACAGAGTCTTGCTCTGTCTCCCAGGCTAGAGTGCAGTGGTGCAATCTCCGCTCACTGCAACCTCTGCTTCCCAGGCTCAAGCACTTCTCTGGCCTCAGCCCCCCAAGTAGCTGGGTAAAGGCAGGTGTCACCACGCCTGGCTGATTTTTGTATTTTCAGTAGAGATGGGGCTTCACTATGTTGGCCAGGCTGATCTTGAACTCCTGACCTCAGGTGATCTGCCAGCCTCGGCCTCCCAAAGTGCTGGGACTACAGGGGTGAGCCACCACTCCTGGCCGGGAGTTTTTTCTAGGTATGCTGTGCCTCTCCTTCAAACTGAGAGCCCTGTGAGGGCAGCTTCTCTCTCTTCCCAGAACTCCTTCCTTTCTTCCTTCCTTCCTCCCTTGCTTCCTTTTTTCCATCCATCCATTCATCCATCTCTAATTTTACAAACTTCCTGCCTGGCTCGCAGGCTTTGAGTGGCACCAGACCACTGAGTGCCTTGAATGCCAGGCCCCGGATAACATGGAGCTCTCTCTGGTGCTACTCATCAAGGATTATACTCAGGGACAGACATGGTCAAAACTTGGTTTGAAAGACCAGGCAAAAAGGAATTTTAAAACCAGTAACAAAGTATGGGTGAGCCAGGTGCAGTGGCTAACACCTGTAATCCCAATACTTTGGGATGCCAAGGCAGGCAGATCACTTGAGGTCAGGAGTTCAAGACCAGCCTGGCCAACATGGCAAAACCCCATCTTACTAAAAATGCAAAAAATTAGCTGGGCATGGTGGCGCACACCTGTAATCCCAGCTACTCGGGAGGCTGAGGCAGGATAGTTGCTTGAACCCGGGAAGTGGAGGTTGCAGTGAGCCAAGATCGTGCTACTGAACTCCAGCCTGGGTGACAGACCCAGATCCTGCCTCAGAACAAAATCAAAACAAAAAATAAAGTGTGACACCAGGAGAGCATTTTGAGGGGTCTGGAAGGTCTCTGGAGAATGCCCCACAGGCCAGGTAGGAAACGTAAATCAACCAAGTGGGGACAAGGTTGTACCTCCTCTAAAGGTGGTAGCTGTCTCAGTTCTAGTCAGTTATTGCCAGACAGAACCTGAGCTCAGCACTGTCTGATCTTCCACTGTAAGAGAAGTAAGAAGCTAAACTTCTAAGTGGAATGACCTACTTAAAAAGAAAAATAGACCAAGGAGAAGTGGCCAATGTGGGAGGATTACTTGAGGTCAGGAGTTTGAGACCAGCCTGGCCAACATAACAAGACCACGTCTCTACAAAAAAAGTTTAAAAATTAGCCAGGCATGGTGGCGCACACCTGTGGTCTCAGCTAATTAGGAGGCTGAGGTGGGAGGATCAGTTGAGCCCAGGAGGTCAAGCCTGCAGTGAATGGTGATCTCCCCACTGCACTCCAGCCTGGGCAATAGGGCGAGACCCTGTCTTGAAAAAATAAAAAATAGGCTGGGTGCGGTGGCTCACGCCTGTAATCCCAGCACTTTGGGAGGCCGAGACGGGCGGATCATGAGGTCAGGAGATCGAGACCATCCTGACTAACACTGTGAAACCCCGTCTCTACTAAAAATACAAAAATTAGCCGGGCGAGGTGGGCGGGCGCCTGTAGTCCCAGCTACATGGGAGGCTGAGCCAGGAGAATGGCATGAACCCGGGAGGTGGAGCTTCAGTGAGTGGAGATCGCCCACTGCACTCCAGCCTGGGCGACAGAGCGAGACTCCGTCTCAAAAAAAAAAAAAAAAAAAAAAAAAAAAAGAAAAAAAGAAAAAAATACACAAACTAAAAATATGCAGAGCTGGTCAAACAAAACCTATCTGTGGGTTAGGTTCTGTAATTGCTGCCCGTCTTTCTCTCTTTCTCTGCAATGAGCTTATCCTCCACCATCCCTGACCTCTGCATAGAGTTATATTTACATAGAGTTAAATTTAAGTCCCAATTTACATGATCGTGGCCCTCCATGCTGGCCCCCGGGGACCCCGAAGGATGTGACAGCAGAGTGTGTCTCCGGTCTCAGCACCAACCCAAGTCCCTCCCACTCACCTGCCAACATTTCCCACGCATCAGTGTTCCTCTCTCTGTGTTTATCTCCTCGGGCCACACGGCTCATGCCGAGGGCTGCCAGGTGTCAGTTCATGGGTGTGGGGAAAGCTAAGCTGCTTGTGGACAGCAGGAAGGGGGTCTCGCTTGACCTGAGCATGAATTTGGGGTGCAGGGTCTGAAGCTGAGGCAGATTCCCCAGGCAGAGTTGACATGAGCCCTGCAAGTGCTCATAATGTCACATGCAAAAAACGTCTTCAAGGTCACGTACACTTGAGAAAGGCAGGGTTAAAGAGTTAAGTAAAATTATTATTATTATTATTATTATTATTATTTTTTGAGACAGAGTCTCATTCTTCTGTCACCCAGGCTGGAGTGCAGTGGTGTGATCTCAGTTCACTGCATCCTCTGCCTCTAGGGTTCAAGTGATTCTCCTGCCTCAGCCTCCTGAGTAGCTGGGACTACAGGCATGCGCCACCACACCTGTCTGATGTATTTGTTTGTTTGTCTGTTTGTTTTAGTAGAGATGGGGTTTCACCATGTTGGCCAGGCTGGTTTCAAGCTCCTGACCTCAGGTGATCCCCCCAACTTGACCTCCCAAAGTGTTGCGTTTACAGGCGTGAGCCACCGCACCTGGCTTAAGTAAGATTCTTTACTGCAGGGCTTTAAAAACCTTTTAGGAAACTCTATCTACACCATTAATCTCTAGATATGGAGATTAGAGTATAGCATAATACATTGTCCATACTTCTTTGACCATGGGATCTATTTTACATGTTCCATAAAAAACTTTGCAGGGTTGCAGGACCAGTGTTCTCTGAAATCCCCTTAAGGTTACCTAAGGGGTAACAAGGGCTGTGGGACGGAATAGACTCTTTTCCTGCAGCCAACACTTGCCTCCAGGAGCCGGGCCATCGTCCCTCCTCTGCCGGCACCCTCCAGCCACAGCCTGCTCTGGGCCGGGCTGGAGCATCCCAGCATGAGTGGGATATGAGTGTCTCCAGAGCAGGGCTGTGTGCTGCCTCAAGGAGCTCCAGGAGTCTCTGGAGCACAGGAGTAGGGCCCCAGGCCCGGGAATTGGAAGGCTGAGGGTGGGGTGGAGGTTAGGGACAGCAGTTATTATGCACAGAGGCTCAGGACAGGGCCATGCTGTCCAGACCTCCTCAGTCCAGGCCTGTTGAGGGCCTTGCAGAACCTTGGGGCCGGCCTCCCTGGCTCCTTCTTCCCTCCTAGGCATCCAGTAACCTACCCTACTCTCAGAAGACTCAACAGGCCTGACAAGGAGGATGCTCAAGACAGGGGTCTGTCTACAACCTGTTGTAACACAGGTAAGAGAGAGCCAGGGAGGTCCCCACTGTATTCCCAGCTCTGGGAGGTATGCCTGGCCTATAACTGCTGTTCCATAATAATTTGCTTGTTGAATGCAAAATAAAAGCAAAATGGTTTTTACCTCTTTCCGCGTGTCTTCCCTCTTCAGGGACCCTGGCAGCATCTGAGAGCAAAAGGAGAAGTACAGTAAAGTCTCTGGTGACAGAGGTTTCCCCTCCATGGCCACACCCCCTGCTTCTCTATGGCTCTGAGGGGGACCAAGTAGCATCATGATCTGGGGAGTGGGGAAAAGAGACGAATGAGGGGGATGCGGGCTCGGAGTCAGATCGGAAGACTCGAGTATGTATGGGCAGTTCTTCCTTTCAGTGTGTGGGTTTGCAATATCAGATCAGTTTCAGAATGGGCTCCTTCACAACTCCCCCTCTACCCAGCTCTCAGGAAATGCGAATGACTCAAGTCAAGCAGGAGAACTGGAGCCCGCTGAAAAAGGCACAGGCCCACCTGAAAGTATTTGTAGTTTAGTGACACCATCCAGTTATTACCATTTCCACTCCTTTCATCAGAGGCATAAATGGTGGGGAATCTGACCACCAGAAGCCCCCAAAGGTTGAGGGAGGAGCACATAGATATTGAGGAGGAAAAAGATATCTTGGCCGGGAGCAGTGGCTCATGCCTGGAATCCCAACGCTTTGGGAGGCTGAGGTGATGGATCACTTGAGGTCAGGAGTTCGAGACCAGCCTGGCCAACATGGTGAAATCCCGTACCTACTAAAAATACAAAAAATTAGCTGAGCGTGTTGGCAGGCGCCTGTAGTTCCAGCTACTCAGGAGGCTGAGAAAGAGAATCACTTGAGCCCAGGAGGCAGAGGTTGCAGTGAGAAGAGATCACAACATTGCACTCCAGCCTGGGTGACAGAGTGAGACTGTCTCAAAAAAAAAAAAAGAAAGGAAGGAAACGAAAAGATATCTTGTAGGGCTGGGCATGGTGGCTGTGCCTGTGGTCACGCCTGTAATCCCAGCAGTTTGGGTGGCCAAGGTGGGCAGATCGCCTGAGCTCAGGAGTTCAAGACCAGCTTGGGCAACATGGTGAAACTCCATCTCTACTAAAAAAAAAAAATCCAAAAATTGGCTGGGCATGGTGGCAGGTGCCTGTGGTCTCAGCTACTCAGGAGGCTAGGGCAGGAGAATCACTTAAGCCTGAGAGGCTGAGGTTGCAGTAGGCAGATCGTGCCGTTACACTCCAGCCTGGGCAACAGAGCCAGACCCTGTCTCCAAACAAAACAAACAAAAAAAGATATCTTGTAGGAAGTGTTATTGAATGGAGAGTCTTGAGGCTGAAACCTCATCACTTTTATAATCTTGTAGCCAGCGAGTGTCTCAGGAGCAGAACAGATAGCAGTGGAAGCCATGCACATCCTACAGATGATGAGGGATGCGCTGAGAGGTCTTCACTCCAGCACCACTGCCCTCTACAGGCAGCTGGCCATAGGGAGGGAAACAGAGAGAGGGAAGAACACCTTCTTCCAAAAGCACCGATGGGGCTGGGTGTGGTGGCTCACGCCTGTAATACGCTTTGGGAGAGCGAGGCAAGAGGATCGCTTAAGGCCAGAAGTTTGAGACCAACCTGAGCAACATAGCAAGACTCTGTGCAGCTACCCAACAAAAACAAAAAATGAAAAGTAGCTGGGCATGGTGGCATGTGCCTGTGGTCCAAGCTACTTGGGAGGCTGAAGCAGGAGGATCACTTGAGCCTGGGAGTTTAAGGCTGCAGTAAGCCATGATAGCACCACTGCACTCCAGCCCAGGCAACAAAGTAAGACCTTGTCTCAATAAATAATAAATAAATAAAATGAACAAAAAGCAGTGATATTCTGGAAAGATGGACTAGATGTATTTATTTATTCTGCCAAGTATAACTGAAAACCTTGAACATGATAAGACAAGCATAAGAAGACTGAAAGATGGAGAGAAGCAGACTGGTTAGGGACCTCGGGACTTAAGGAACGGTGGTGAATTCCCTGGGATTTCTCTTTGCCTCATATATCTCCAGGTGAATATTGAAGAAGTCAACAACTGAAAATGCCAAGGGGCACAAATAAAACAAGTCCCAACAAAACAAGTTCTAGCAAAACTATGATTTTCTAGCCAAAGAACAAGGAAAGGGGCATCGTAGAAAGACAGAGTCTTTTAGTCAATACCTGCTCTGCTCCTGCCAAGTTCCATCCTCACTCCTGTCAGCAAAGGCTGGCTGGGAAACCTGGACTTTCACCCTCACCAGGCTGTAACAAAGAACCCTAGGCCACTCCCATACTCAGTCGGAGTGATGCCTGACTTGGAGCTGGGACCTTCACCCCTACTGGGATCACCCTCCCCCAGTGTGGTGTTGGTGGAGACCGTGTGGGCAGCCTGGACACCCACTGCCACCCCAATGCAGAAGTGAGGGCTTTCCCCCACCCCCACTGGAGTAGTGTCAGAAGAGGCCTAGTGGAGAGTTGGGACTTTCACCACCACTCAGTGGTAACAAGCGCCACTCTCTCTCTCTCTGCCACACACAGTGTCAATGAAAGCCACATAGGGAGCAGTAATGAAGCAACCCTCCCACTCCCAGCCTGGGAGTTGTCGTGGATTCCTAGTGGGGAACCTGAACTTCTACCCTTACCTAACAATAACATGGAGGCCTCATCTCTCCCAGTCCCCCAGGTTCAAGAAAGGCTGAATGGAGAACCTGGACTTTTATCCCTGTCTGGAAGCAATGAGGCAGTGCCCCACTTTATTTCACTGGAGCAGTATAAAGGGAAGCCCGCTAAGACAAAAGATTTAAATAAGATCCAGACTCTTATAACATAGTGCCCAGAATATCCTGACTTCAATGGCAAATCACTTGTCATACTAAGAATCAGGCATTCTCAGACTGAGTAACAAAAGATAATTAACAGGCACAAGCATCAAGATGACACAGATGTTAGAATAATCTGACAAAGATTTTGGAGCAGCCATCATAAAAATGTTTCACTGAGAAATTATAAATGTGCTTGAAATAAATAAAGTAATAAAAAGTATCAGCAAAGAAATAGAAAATATAAAGAAGAACCAAATGGAAACTTTAGAACTAAAAAATACAAGAGCTGAAATAAAAACCATAATGGATTGGCTCAATAGCAGAATGGAGAGTGTAGAAGAAAGAAGCAGTGAAACAAAACAGATAACAATTGAAATTACCCATTCTGAACAATGGAAAGAAAATAGATGAAAGGAAATGGAACAAAGCCTCAAGGACATGTGTAACTATAATAAAAGAAGATCTAACATTTTGTCATTGAAGTCCCAGAAGGGGAGGTAAAGGAGGGTGGGCCTTAAAAAAATTCCAAGAAGTATTGGCTGCAAATTGTCTTCATTTGACAACATACATGCACAATATATGTCTACAGATTCAAGAAGCTAAGTGCATCACAAACAGGATAAATCCAAAGAAATTCATGCCAAGTCACATCATAGTCAAACTTCTAAAAACAAGAGGCAGAGAAAATTATTGAAAGCAACCACATAAAAATGACACATTACCTATACCAGAAAAACTGTTCAAATAACAGTGGGTTTCTCATCAAAAACTATGGAGTCCATAAGAAAGTGACACGATATTTTTCAGGTGCTCAGAGAACTGTCAATCTGGAATCAGTCCTGTATCTAGTGGAAATACCCTTCAGGAATGAAGGGGAAATTGAGATATTCTCAAACGAAGGAAAACAAAGAGAATTTTTGTTCAACACAGGCCTACCCTAAAATTATGGCTAAAGGCAATTCCCTGAACAGAAAGGAAGTAATTTTTTTAAAAAAGAATCTTGGAATACCGGGATGGAAGAAAGAACACTTGTTGAATGCAAAAAAAGAACAAAAATGGTTTTTACCTGTTTCCTCACATCTTCCCTCTTCAGGGACTCTGGTAGCATCTGACAGTAAAAGGGAAAGTACAGTAAAGTCTCTGGTGACAGAGGCTTACCCTCCATTGCCACCCTCTGCCTCTGGAAGAGCAAACCTATGGGTAAATACAATAGACTCTTCTTTTCCTCTAGAGTTTTCTAAATTACGTTTGACACTCAAAGCAAAAACTATAACGCTGTCTAATTCTGTTCTCAGTGTATGTAGATAAAATATTTAAGCAATTATCCTATAAATGGGAAAGGAGAAAGGGTTGTAAAGGGAAGTAACTGGTAGAGTGTTGAAACCAGTAGACTCTGATAAATTATGTATGTTGTAATACCTAGAACAACCTATAAAAAAGCTATACAAAGTAATATACTCAAAAACACTACAGATAAATCAAAATGGAATTCTAAAAAACTGTTCAGGAACTCACTAGAAGCTGGAGAAAAGAAAAAAGAATCAAAGAAAACAAAAAATAAAATGACACGCATCAGCCTTAGCATATAAGTGATTACATTAAATGTAAATGGCCTAAATAAATGCTGTTTACAAGAAAATAGCTTGAAGGCTAGGTGCAATGGCCCACACCTATAGTCTCAGCACTTTGGGAGGCCAAAGTGGATGGATCACTTGAGGCAGGAGTTCAAGACCAGCCTGGCAAACATGGCAAAACCCTGTCTCTACTAAAAGTACAAAAAAATTTGCCAGGCATGGTGGTGCATGCCTGTAATCCCAGCTACTCGGGAGACTGAGGTGAGAGGATTGTTTGAACCTGGAAGGCAGAGGTTGCAGGGAACCAAGATCATACCATTGTACTCCAGCCTGGGTGACACAGCAAGACCCTGTCTCAAAATAATATAATAATAATAATAACAACTTCAAATATAATGGAAATATACCATGCAAAAAGTAGTCAAAAGAAAGTAGGAGTGGCTATATTAATAACAGATAAAGTAGACTTCAGAGCAAAGAAAATTACCAAGGCCAGAGATGGACATTATATAATGTGGGAAAAGTCAATCCACCAAGAAGACATAACCATCCTAAATATGTATGCACCAAACAACAGAGCTGAAAAATATATGAAGTAAAACCCAGTAGAAATAAAAAGAGAAATAGGCAGCCGGGCTCACACCTGTAATCCCAGCACTGTGGGAGGCCAAGGTGGGTACAGTCAGGAGTTTGAGACCAGCCTGGCCAGCGTGGTGAAACCTCATCTCTACTAAAAATACAAAAATTAGCTAGACATGGTGGTAAGCACCTGTAGTCCCAGCTACTTGGGAGGCTGAGTTAGGAGAATCACTTGAACTCAGAAGGTGGAGATTGCAGTAAGCTGAGATCGCACCATTGCACTCCAGCCTGGGTGACAGAGTGAGACTCCATCTGAAAAAAAAAAAAAAGAATAGGCAAATTCACAAACATAATTGGGAACTTCAATATTCTCTCTCAACAATAGAACAATCAAGCAGAAAATCAACAAGAATATATAAGAACGCAATGACACACCATCAACCAACAGCATCTAATTGACATTCATGGAATTATCTACCCAACAATAGCATAATACACCTTCTTTTCAAGCATCTATGGAATATATACCAAGATAAATCATATGCAAGGTCATGAAACAAACGTCAGACATTTGAAATAACTGAAATTACAGAGAGTATGTTCTATTACCACAATGGACTCAAATTAGATACCATAACAGAGAGTTAAAAGAAAAATCTTCAAGGCCGGGCGCGGTGGCTCACGCCTGTAATCCCAGCGCTTTGGGAGGCCGAGGTGGGCGGATCACAAGGTCAGGAGATCGAGACCACGGTGAAACCCCGTCTCTACTAAAAATACAAAAAATTAGCCGGGCGTGGTTGTGGGCGCCTGTAGTCCCAGCTACTCGGGAGGCTGAGGCAGGAGAATGGCGTGAACCCGGGAGGCGGAGCTTGCAGTGAGCCGAGATCGCGCCACTGCACTCCAGCCTGGACGACAGAGCGAGACTCCGTCTCAAAAAAAAAAAAAAAAGAAAAATCTTCAAACACTTGGAAACTAAACAAAGCACTTCTAAATAATCCAAGGGCCAAAGAAGAAATCGCAAGTAAAATTTAAAAAATACATTGAATGGAATGAAAATGAAAATAGAACTTACCAAATTTTAGGAACCAACTAAAGCACAAGAGGGAAATTTATATCACTTTGGGAGGCCGAGGCAGGTGGATCATAAGATCAGGAGATCAAGACTATCCTGGCTAACACAGTGAAACCCTGTCTTTACTAAAAATACAAAAAATTAACCAGGTGTGGTTGCGGGTGCCTGTAGTCCCAGCTACTTGGGAGGCTGAGGCAGGAGAATGGCATGAATCCGGGAGGTAGAGCTTGCAGTGAGCCAAGATCGCGCCACTGCACTCCAGCCTGGGCGACAGTGCGAGACTCTGTCTCAAAAAAAAAAAAAACAAAAAAAACCAAACAGGAAATGTCAAATCTATAATGTAAGATTTGATCTCAAGAAACTAGAAAAATAAGAGCACATTAAACCCAAAGCAAGCATAAGGAAGGATATGATAACGAAAAAGGGAGAAAGCAATGAAACTGGAAACAGAAAAATAATAGAGAAAAGAAAGTATCTTTTCAGATCAACAAAGTTGGCAACCTCTAGCAAGACTGACAAAAAATAAAATAAAAACAGATTGCTAACATCAAGAATGAAATAGGGGATAGCACTACAGACCCTGCAGATATCAAAAAGATAATAAGGGAATACTATGAACAACTTTACACACATAAATTTGACAATTTAGATGAAATGGATTCTTCAAAAAGTACAAACTACCACAACTCACCCAATGTGAGTTAGATCATTTGAACAGCACTATAACTATTAGGTAATTTAAAATGAGAAAAATAAATCTTCAGACCTATATGTTTTCACTGGAGAATTCTGCTCAATGTTTAAAGAAGAATTTACACCATTCCATATAATCTCTTCTAGAAAATATTAGAGGGAATGCTTCCTAACCCTTTCTATGAAATTAGTATTAACATTAAACCAAAAAAGGAAAGTACAGAAAATAAAATTATAGGCCAGTATTTCTCATGAATATAGATACCAAATCCTTAACAAAATATAAGCAAATAGAATTCAGTAGTAGTCCAGGCATGATAGCTCACGCCTGTAATCCCAGCACTTTGGCAGGCTGAGGCGGGAGCATCACTTGAGGCCAGGAGTTTGAGACCAGCCTGGGCAAAATAGTGAAAGCCCTATCTCTACAAAAAGAAATGTTTTTTAATTAGCTGGGCATGGTGGCACGTGCCTGTAGTCCTAGCTACCTGAGAGGCTGGGAGGGAAAATGATTGCTTACACCTAGGAGTTTGAGTTTGCTGTGAGTCATGATTGCACCACGGCACTCCAGCATGGGTGACAGAGCAAGTCCTTATCTCAGAAAAGGAAAAAAAAAAAATCAACAATATATAAAAATAATTATACAGCATGACCAAGTGGGATTTATTCATTCCAGGGGTGCAAGGCTGGTCTAACAATTGAAAATCAATCAGTGTAATCTTCCATATTAACAGGATAAAGAAGAAAAATCACATGATCATATCCATTGCTGTGGAAAAAGCATTTGATAAAATGAAACACCCATTTATGATTTTAAGACTCTTTGAAAACTAGGAATAGAGGGGAAATTCCTTGACTTGATAACCTACAACTAACCTATAAAAACTACAGCTTGCATACTTAACTAACACTGCAGTCCTGAATACTTCTCCCCTAAGATCATAAACAAGACAAGGATGTTTACTGTCATCACTCCTATCAACATAATGCTGGAAGTTCTAGACAGTGCAATAAGATAAAGAAAGGCAATAAGAAGGACATAGATCTGAAAGGAGGAAAGAAAACTATCTGTATTTGCAGATGACATGATGGTCTAAGTAGAAAATTCCAAAGAACCAAAAAAAAAAAAAAACAAAAAAAAAAACCACCTAAAAATAGTAAGTGAGTTTCACACATTTACAGAATACAAGATTAACACAAAGATTAGTCACATTTTCTTGTATTAACAATCAACATGTGGAAACCAAAATTTAAAATGCAATTCCATTTACAATGGCTAAAAAAATACTTAGATGTAAATTCAACAAAACACATATGACTTATATACTGAAAACTACAAAACACTGCTGAAAAAAGTCAAAGAATAGCTAAATAGAGAGACATACCATATTCATGGATTGGGAGACTAAACATAGTAAAGATATCAATTCTCCCAAAATTGATACACATACAGATTTAATGCAATTACTACCATAATCCCAGCAAGATTTTTTTATAGATATAGGCAAGATTATTCTAAAGTTTACATAGAAGGAACTAGAATAGGCCAGGTATGGTGGCTCATGCCTGTAATCCCAGCAGTTTGGGAAATCAAGGTGGGCAGATCACTTGAGGCCAGGAGTTTGAGACCAGCCAGGGCAGTATAATGAGACCCATCTCTACAAAACAAAATTTTTAAACAATAAAATTTTTAAAAAGAGAACTTAATTTTTTTTTTTAATTTTAAATAAAATTTTTTTAAAAAGAACAGTAAGAATATTGTTTTCTTACCTATGGGAGAAGCAAAAAATAGTAATAAAAAGAGCTAGAATGGAAACCATTTCTGAAACAGAAGAATAAAGGGGGAAGAACCACTATACTTGATATCAAGGTTTATTATAAAGTAATATACAGTAATCAAAACTGTGTGGCCCTGGTGAAGATATAGACACATCAATCCACTGAACAAACTAGAGAGCCCACAAATAGACCCACACAAATATGGCCAACTTGTTTTTAACAAAGGAGCAAAAACAATTCAATGGAGGAAAGACAGTCTTTTCAACAAATGATGGTAGAGTAATTGGACATCCATAGACAAAAACATGAACCTCAACCTAAACCTCATACTTTCTATAAAAGTTAATTCAGAGTGGATCATAGATTTTCATGTAAAATATTAAGCTATAAAACCTCCAGAAGGGCCGGGCACCATGGCTCACACCTGTCACCCCAGCACTTTGGGAGGCCAAGATGGATGGATCACCTGAAGCCAGGAGTTTGAGACCAGCCTGGCCAACATGGCGAGACCCTGTCTCTATTTAAAAATGCAAAAACAATTAGCCAGTTGTGGTGGTGCGTGCCTGTAGTCCCAGCTACTCAGGAGGCTGAGGCAGGAGGATCACTTGAACGCAGGAGGCGGAGGTTGCAGTGAGCTGAGATCATGCCACTGCACTCCAGTCTGGGCAACAGAGTGAAAATCTGTCACAATTAAAAAGTAAAATAAAATAAATTGAAAAAGAAAACCTCTGGAAGATAACATAGGAGAAAATCTCTGAGACCTAAAGCTTGATGAAGCATTCTTAGACATGACACCAAAGGCATGATCCCTAAAAAAATCAATCCAACTTCATCAAAATTATGATTTTTTTTTGCTCTGTAAAAGACCTAGTTAAGAGAATGAAAAGACAAATTACAGACTCAGAGAAAATATTTGCAAACCACGTATCTGACAAAGGACTCATATCTAGAACAAATATATAAAGAACTCTCAATTCAACATAGAAACGCCACATAAAAAAATCAGATAATCAAT